CAGTGAATGCATCATGATGATATGAGCGCTTCGGTGTGAGTCTTATTTTCTCAATGAAATGAGTTGAAGCTGTTGCCATAGGGATGGCAAACTGGGAATAATTGACTTCAAAGGGCCACTGTAGGCTTTGAATTGAATCAAGTCGCTGCTTTTAAGAAGTGTTCCTATTAATATACCCTTCAGGATCGAGATATTCCATCCCTGCTTTACAGACGAATGTATTGGTGCAGTGCTGACATTTACCTGAAATAGATGCTGTTTTGTGGCTCCCAGGCCCAGAGCTGGCTTGGGATTGCGTAAAGCTCTTCTAAAAAAAGTGGTATTCCAGTTCCAGCTCCGAAGACAAGACCTTGGAATGGCAAACTGCTCCCATCCTCCCTCTTAATGCTCTCCCCAAACAACCTGAAGTTGCACCCCTGAAATTTGACTGTTTTGCTGTTAGAGCTTTGGGGGCTCCGCCTGGAGATGTTGGAGGCCCTCTGGCCCATCCGCGATTTAAAAGAAGCCTTTCCTGGCCAGCAAGATTGGCATTGAGGCGGATTTCCATAGCCTCTCCCCTGAGCACTTAACATAAATACAGCCATAGAGGGCTAGATGTAAAGAAACGACCCAGTTGGTTGGATTCACACACCCTGCTAAACCATGATGTGGTTGGTTTAGTCTGAATATATGTTTTGTGGGAACCCGGCCAGGGAAAATAAAAATTAGGAAAGCTATCTGATGAAGAGATGACAGTGTAGTGTTTCATCCGTATGTGGGTCAGCATAGGAGGGAAGGGCACCTAAATGCTGCTGTGTTAACAGCCGTGGCATCTTACTTTACTCCTACTGCCTGGTTTGGCAGGGCTGTGGAGAACATCTAAAACTTGTCTGGTACGCGTGAACCTTGCCTAGACTTCTTTTAGTTTGTCCACAGCAACTTCCTAATTTGATTCGACTACAGGCAGTGCCCCTCTTTCAAATCTTGTACAGTGGAACCTCAGTTTACGAACTTAATTCATTCCGTGACTCTGGCCGCAACCCGAATTGGTTGCAACCCGAAGCAAATTTCCCCATAAGGAT